AATGTAATATTCCAGTCAACCGTTTAAACTCTTGACCATCAATCCAAAAGATTTTTGAAATAAACATGACAACCATTGAACAAAACTTTTCGTTCTTAAAAGTCAGTCAGTCAGTCAGCTACAACGTAAGAACAGGCACATATATGCATTGGTCCAAGTCGCCATAACTAACTAGCACTACAACATGAACACCAAATTCATAGGGTTGGTTAAGCCAATGATGGTAATAATATATAAAAGAAAGATTGCATATAACGACATAATATAGGAAGAAACAATTAGTTAGTAGAAAGAAAGATATGAAGTGATTTTAATCTCATAGTTTAAGGGAAGACAGAAAGTGTATACACCTACTCCATTGTAATTGATTCTGAACCATGTCATCCACAGTCTCCAACCATTGGTTACGATAGTCACACGGAGCCCAACCAAGTAGTCTGCATCTACCAACATGGCTCATATTAGAGGTTAGTGACTTTACGGACTGATGCCACGTTTTAGTTTGGCCACCTCTAACTTCCTTCTAACCGTCTACAATACCAGTCGGCATTGCGCGATGTGGTAATCGGTGTTCAGGCATACGTAACACGTGGCCCAACCATCTCAATTGATAAAGATTCCCGACCTAATCAACTGATTTACCATCATTCCCTAATACCCTACGTCTAAACTCACTATTACTTACCCAGTAATCCCAGCAATATTTCTAAGACATCTGTGGTCAAATATTAGTAGATTACGAATATCTTCTACTCTTAGTGACCACGTTCCGCAGCCGTAAAGTAAAACAGAACGAACTGCCGCGCAGTATACTCGTCCCTTAATTGATAGACGGATATCTCGCCTTCGCCATAGGTGACGTAAGTTGATAAAAGCCAAACGAGCTTTCCGAATCCGTGCTGAGATCTCGTTAGACACCAACACGTTAGGGCTGATCAGACTTCCAAGATAAGTGAAGTTGTCAACGCGTTCGACTGCTTCACTCCCTATCCATAGTTCAGGTGCTGACGCAGTCCAGTCCTGAAGCAATAACATTCCGGCATTGTTGCTCAGTGCTGATGAGGTGAGCAGTAATTAATTATCAGAATGGGATTTTATGGAGATTTTAGTAATTTTATAGTTGAGTTCATGAGCTAATTGAAGCTAGACAACCAAGGAAGCACTGAACGGTCGTTTCGTTCCAGTAGTGTTAGTGCTTTTCTCATGGTAGTGAGCAACATATGCTCCTCCATGAGGGGTAACATGCGTAAGTAAACTTTTCTCATTTAAAAACATTTGTTGTTCTTCCCTATATTCTAAATGCTGATAATTCATATGTTTACAATTTGTGATTACATTTTGGAGATTACATCATTTCCTTAAACTATCAATTTGTATTTGGAACAGTTTTGTCAGTTGAAGATTATAAATAAGCTAAACCAACATAAATGGATTATATCGTCACACTTGAGTTGAAAATAAAACATGCACCATGTATTTTATGCATCAACTTATTAAACGAGTCAATGGTGTGTAACGGAAATCTTGATCATGTTCCGATGAGATATTATATATTTATAAATATGTTTTAAAGAATATCAATTAGACATTTCTGTTATCAGTAGTACATTGCTGTGGTTTAAATAGAGCCAACTTGTCTATAGAAAACTTGAAGTTCCTTATTCACTGTTAACCACTAATTAGTTAAATTGGAAATTTCAGTTAAGATGTCTTGCTAAAACTAAGATAAGCAAAATTAATAAAACATTTTTGCCTTCAACAGTACAGGTGTACAAGGTAAAATCAATTTAATTTATTTACAATGTTAGACTTGTAGATTTGGGAGCAAGTTAATCACATTCTAAATTTTAGAATTGTATGGTTTGGATTGTGTTACTCCTACTCTGACATCTACTTGAATTCTCATATATAATTATAGAATGGTGTGGCAGTTCAGTGTTTAGCGTTAAGCCACTTAATTACAGTAACGAAACCCTCTTTACCTACTTTGATCTGAACAACTAGGTTAGTATTACTAGCCACCCTAACACTTAGAGTGTAAATCAAAGCCAAATGCACCAATCTGCACCCTTGATGAGTTAACTCAGCAATAAATAATAGTGATAGGTTTATAAACATCGCTACAGAAAGAGAGCTCAATTAGTTATGTTGCTACAAGACTTGAAGGTGGTGGGTTCGGTTCTTGGGGGCATCATGAGTTCAAACTGCTGAGTAGTCCCATATAATCCTGAAACAGCTGTTCAGTGCTATTATAAAATCAAATTGTGATTTAGTATTTATAACAAATTACTTTTCACTCGTCTAAGGAATGCTTATCTTCTTTTTCAAATATTAGAGTTTTGATTCACTTGGTGTTGTTTTACTTGTATCTTCTCTTATTGGCATATGTGCATCCTGTAAGAATTGCCACGATATTGCCTTAAGTCACATGCTTTTTAAGCAAAGATGGATAGTGGCTAGTAGTGGGATCCAGGACACGCATTTTATCCTATTTAAACTTCACCCCATTGCACAAGCAAGTGGTTATCAGGACTCAGTAGCTAAATGGATAACGCGATGGCGTTTGAAGCAAACGGTACTGGGTTCAAGTTCCAGAGTGAACATCAACTTTGGGATGCAGGTACATCCGGTTGACGAGTCCCCAATAAGACGAAACGCGCACCCTGAATTCAACTGCTAGCCATTATTCATCTTTGCTTATTAGAGTTTTAGCTAGTGATATGTTGTTTTACGGTTTGACAAGTTACCTATACTATAATTCCTTAACAGACTGTTTTAAGTGCATATTCAGTGAGTTCAACCTGTTTGAACTGTTTGCGCATACCAAAACAATAAGACTAAATGAAAGTGATTAATTGTTAAGATAGAAGAGATAATAACAAACAAGATGATTTGGCTGTTGATATATAAGTTGTTAAAACCTATTGATTACATCCCATAGAACAGAATTTCCTTATCTCTTTAGATGTTAATATACTAATGACTAAACTATTGAATATGGATAGCTTATTGACTTACTTTATCAGATATAAAATAAATCAATTATACACAGTATTTTGTTTTACTTTCATTTCATTTTATTTAAAAGAAATTCATTATGAAATGAATCAACGTTTTTATTGTAAATAATAATAATAAACATAATAAAATATTGCATGCTGGGTACCCTAATTGTGATAAACATACCTTACCCACATGTATAAATTATATTGTATTTTAGATTATTACTATTCAAGTATTATGTAATGAATAAAAGATTGTAGAGAAATAGTGTGTGTTCTAAATGCGGCTCACCAAGTTTGTATGGTGCTAGTATCCATTATATTTGACTGCAATAAATGGTATCCTGTTATCTGGGTATTTAATGCAGGTTGATGCAGACGTAAAGGCGAGGATTGGCAAAGCAAGGACAGCATTCCTTCAATTGAAGAACATATGCAACTCAAAACAACTTTCAACCAATATCAAAGTCAGAATCTTTAATACGAACGTCAAGACAGTTCTACTATACGGAGCTGAAACTTGGAGAACTACAACAACCACCATTAAGAAGATACAAGTATTTATCAATAGCTGTCTACGCAAGATACTCAACATCCATTGGCCGGATACCATCAGCAACAACTTTTTGTGGGAGAGAACAAACGAGCTTCAAACGGAAGAGGAAATTAGGAAAAGACGATGGAAATGGATAGGACATACATTACGCAAATCATCAAACTGTATCACGAGATAAGCACTAATTTGGAATCCTAAAGGGAAGCGGAAAAGAGGAAGGCCAAAGAACACATTACGTCGGGAAATAGAAACGGATATGAAAGGGATGAATAAGAACTGGGAAGAGCTGGAAAGGATTGCCCAGGACAGGGTTGGATGGAGAATGCTAGTGAGCGGCCTCTGCTCATTCACGAGGAGTAACAGACGTAAGTAATGCAGGTTAAATCTCCTAGTAGAATTATGGATTTACTCGAGATTATTCAAAAGCCTGAACAACATCAGTTATAGAGATAGTTTATTGTTAAAGATTGGTATAATCCGCAAGCGTACAGGAAGCAAGCACACAGGGAAACCAAGAGTGTGTGTGTGTGTGAGTGCTAAAAATCCATATATATTTTTGAGTGCTAATCAAGTATGGATAAATTGTTGATTATCTGTGTATTAGAACTAATGGGAGAATAGATTAGAAATTGTTGTGCAGAAATGTGCTCAATCATACTCACACAGAAAATTATATGATAAATTACAGTGAGCAAATAAATAATACAGTAGTTGAATGGGTTTATTACAAGGTCATATCATTGGTTTCTTAAATATGATAGATTATCACTTAAATGCTGTGACATAATCAATTTACTGTTCAACTTTACAGGATTTTACTATAACATGACAATTAGGCAATTTCTGTTCAAAACATAAATGAATATCAATAATATTTCTTGTTATTGAGATTTAACCTCATAAATATTGACAAATCAAACTAGAAAACTAATTTACTTGATATTAACATGAACACTAGTTTATGGTTAAGGTGTTTTGGGAATGATGGTAAATCAGTTGATTAGGTCGTGAATCTTTATCAATTGAGATGGTTGGGCCACGTGTTACGTATGCCTGAACACCGATTACCACATCGCGCAATGCCGACTAGTATTGTAGACGGTTAGAAGAAAGTTAGAGGTGGCCAAACTAAAACGTGGCATCAGTCCGTAAATTCACTAAGCTCTAGTATGAGCCATGTTGGTAGATACAGACTACTCGGTTGGGCTCCGTGTGACTATCGTAACCAATGGTTGGAGACTGTGGATGACATGGTTCAGAATCAATTACAATGGAGTAGGTGTATACACTTTCTGTCTTCCCTTAAACTATGAGATTAAAATCACTTCATATCTTTCTTTCTACTAACTAATTGTTTCTTCCTATATTATGTCGTTATATGCAATCTTTCTTTTATATATTATTACCATCATTGGCTTAACCACCCCTATGAATTTGGTGTTCATGTTGTAGTGCTAGTTAGTTATGGCAACTTGAACCAATGCATAAATGTGCCTGTTCTTACGTTGTAGCTAACTGACTGAATAACCTCATTCGCTTAGAGTTACACACACTCCGATTTGTATTACATCACACAGCATTGAGTAGAAAAACAAAATAAACAACTAACAAACACAAAGAAAACAAAAGTACACTGTATGGAATTTGTTGTATATTTTGAAATGGTAATTGATAAACAATATTTTTTTTTAAAAAAAAACAAAAGACCACTTAATAGAATATATGTGCGCAGAATACTAAAATGAGAACATTCTCATCACCGAAGCAAAATTAACAAATAATACAACAATGAACAAATACAGAATGATTAGATCTATTCCAGCAAATTAATATAACTCATCATTCAAAACGAGAAATTTCTGAAGATGAATAAAACGTAATATCAATGTTCCTATTAGATGATCATTATTATATCAATGTGATAAATGATCAAAACCAAATGTAAAACAAATATAATGTAATATGTAATGAAAAGTTTATAAAAATTGAACAAATTACAAAAATACACACATGAATATAAAATAAAAAAACATGATAAATGACATTACACCACTACACACACACACATACATACACCACAATGGTGAAATTGTTGATAGATGTATTTATAATGAAGAATGACATGAATGAAATTATCAAAAGCAACCGGTTGAAAAAGTACAAGACAAAAGTGAATTACACACAAATGTTTATCTACATAATGATGGAATATTGGTAATAATAATTTCTTAAAGAATAAACATATCTACCTGGTAGTAGTATATTCACTCACTCACTCTCTATCTCTCTTATACACACACACACACAGTACGCGAAGATAAAGAAATGACCGTTAGGAAAATTTTAAAGAAAATTCCAACAACTTCTCATGGAATATGGCATACTGTCACAGAATTTAAGAGAAGAGTGTAAAAATTGGGCACATTTTTTTTTAAAAATTAATATAACAAATGTTTTTTTATTACGATACGATTATAGGTGTTGTGTGTGTGTGCGTATGTGTTAAATTTTGCGATTCTATTTTTTTGTGTAATTCGTCAAGTATTCCTTATTTGTATCGAATAAAAATAATGAAGACGATGGTGACAATGAGAAAAAAGAGAAGAGAAGTATAACCATGAGTAAACACACACACACACACAGAGTACCACTGTGTTGTATGATAGGATTAATTAAAGATTGTGTGAAAATGAAATTGGTCATTTGAAGGCGAAATGGAGAAAGATACATAATAGCAAAAGATAACTCATATGAAATGATTCAATGAGTATTGTAAATATGTATGTGTAGAAATGAACAACAAGAATATCAACACAGATACAACTAAATTACATTATTCATTGTTATCTCCGAAAGAGATGAACAATACAAAGTTGGAAATTATAATCATAATGAATAAGTTCATGGAGAGAAACATATAGGAGAATTGTATGTTTAGAACTCTTCAATTATTTAAACATTGGTTAAGGTGGTCAAGTGTTTTCCTCTTTTTTCTAAATCAATTTATGCTGTTTGTACTGCACGATAATAAGCGTTTGGATCACGCCCATTCACAGCACAACAAAGAGTCATTGCAAATATTAAACCAATCAGCTAGATGGAGATTTTGAAAAGAGAAAAAAAAGTAAGCACGATGTGGATGTTAGTTATAATTAATTAGTTAATCAAACTGTTATAACTAAGAAAATAAAATGAAAGTGACAAACTGGACAACCCACTTTCAAGACAATGTTACTCTTAATTAGTTTTTGTATTGGTTGGGTTGAATCTTCCTATTGATGTTTAGGACTGTAATTGGTCAGTCTCTTATTGGTATATGTCCATCCTAAGCGGATCACCTTAAGTTGTGATGGCATTTGAAGCGAATGATACTGGGTTCGAGTCCTAAAGTAAACACTAACACTGGGATGCAGGTACATCCAACTGACGAGTCCCAAGTAGAACGAAACGCGTGTCCTGGATTTCACTGCTAGCCACCATCCATCTTTGCTTATTATTACTCCTAGTTTTTTATCTGTAATTATAAACAGTTGTGTTATGGGTTTCTTTTATTCATCTAATCCTAAACTATCATAATTTAATCATGAGCTCAGTATTCTGACTTTTACCCTGAATGCCTTATTTTTATTAATCATGGTATTCACTATTCTATTGTGCATCGTGGCCTATATGTGTACACAGCTGAATACCTTTTGAGTTAACACCCATGGTCTTCTTATTCGAACGTACAGTTTTTCGACCACTGTAAAGTAACCGGAGTCCGCCTAGCGGATCGTTAGTCGGTCTATTCACCAATTTACTTGTTAAGGTTATATTAAAATTTAATAACCATACCGTCAACCAAACATTAGTTACATTGTCAGCAGTCGATGCGGAGTACTTATTTGATTCGATTATTAATGAGTTTGCAGGTATCAATGGTAAATAACTATTTACTCTCATGAAGTGTCTTACATCAAAGTCACAAAACATCAGAAATACAATTTTCTACTCACTGGGATATTACAAAAAACATATTTATTATTACACAGATACACGTTTTTTTTTACATGAAACTTACCTCAATGAGGGCTATTGTAATAACCGAAATACATATGATTAGGAAATTATGCATAATATTGTCAATTCTTTCTTTACAACCCTACAGATTAAACAAAAAGAACATATCATTTGGCTGTAAATAAAATCTGAATCAATAATCATGATAATAAAATGCAATTCATTTGTCCAGTACAAGTTTAACTATACTCAGCTTCCGGACACACACTAGTTTTATGTGAGGACCACAAATACGAACACCCAGTTGGTCAGACTCAAGTACTCAAAATAAAGTATCAACTCTTGTGGTACACCGATCGAAAGCCAACTACATTAATCACTAAGTCACTTCAAACACAAACCAATTAAAAGGGAAGGATGAAAGAATGGTTAAAAATCCAAGGGTTTAATGGGGACTTGCCCATTCGTAGACACTATTAACTTAACATGTCAGAGTGTAGGCTGAGGTCATTTTAATACACCTCCTATTCAGGCAAGCACATGATATCTGAGGTGTATTTTATCTACGATAACTGAAAACTAATTAGAATAAACGTGTTGCATTATTAATAGATCAACTATTCGTGGCTAATATTTGGAAGATTTCACAAAACAAACAAACGGACAGTGACAAGTGAAAATTCTGAGTAGATTTTCCATAGTAAACCAACGACAAGTTAAGAAAAATCAAATGTCTGTTCAAAGTGGATGCATATATGAGCATACATATCCTGAGATTAGTTGTCTGTTTAACAAATACAGTTTAAGATGTGCATATGATATATATTATTAAACCATTCTACATATTGACACACATTTATAGACAACTAATGCTTACTTACCGTCTGAAAACTGAGCAAAGCGAAATCCATAGCACATTGATCATTTAAACAACAAGAAGGGACTTGAGCAATACCATAGTCTGTAGGTCCATTGTAACCACAACATTGGAACTAAACAGAAAAATTCAAGTATACATACATATTCTGATATTCTTTTAACATACACAATTCGATAAGTACATATTTTTGACAAAAAATTGCAGTGGATTGGTTAGTTACAAAGGTAACAAACTATGTGAAATGTGCTTTCTCTTCCTTTGGTAACTTCACATAATAAAATGGCAGTGTAGGAGGCAAACCAATAAGAAGTGGGAAAACAACATTTAAGTTTTAGGCAAAATTTCAAAAATGAATGAATTTTGCCTTATATGGCGTAACACGAGTAGCAGAAATACTTTTGTTTGACAATCAGAACTTTTAGAGTTATAACGAAAAATTATTTATTAGTGTTAAATATATAAAATACTTAACCAGATCACCAGGTTGGGATCTGTGAGATTATCGTAACCAAGGATTAGGGCGTTTAACTTTCATTCATTGGGTTCCAGATAAAAACCCCACCGTTTACTTCGATTTGAGCAACCGTGTATTATTTTTGGCCCTCAGACTGAATACGCCTCACATTCAAGTACCTGGGTGTTTTATCTTAGAATAATTAGCAATGGCTTAAGTGCATTCACTCTTTATTTTCCCTTACATCCTGAGTGCCGAAATCTCCTTATATTTTTTTCCGTCTGCCCCATATGGCACATGATTAACTGAGAATTTTCTTCTAGATAGATTGTGTTGGTCATTGGCTACCATGGGACTGCATCTCCTTACAATGCTTCACTGCCTTGTGGATCAGATCTTCAGGTCGAAGGCTCGGGGTGTGGCCCCCTAAGAAAACCACTTGCTTCGGTTTTGGCACCCGGGCAGTATCACAGCCCTCACATATATCAAATGAGATTTGTGTGGCGCATATGTATTTGGTGTTTCCTTGTACGAATATCTATGTGTTAAAATAAATGAAAAGTATGACAAGTAAATCAAACCTATCGACAAACCCCTAATCATAACTCAAACCAGAAACAATGCGGGAACTCCTAAAAAACAACTTGGATCCTCATAGAGGCTAGAGAAGTTTGATGTTATTTAACTTGGACAGGAAAATCTGAAGACTTTAATAGATTTACTAATTGAGTGAAACTTTCTTAAATGTTGTTCTTTTCTATAAACCATTCATTTACGATGGGATAAAATTCGTCGTGGTTGTTTTAATAATCGCCCTTCACATAGCAAAAATACTAGGTAAACAGCAGAACGTCAAATGAGCCTATATCGTCTTAAATTTACTTCATTTAATCATCAACTAAGATCCAATTTCTGTTTATTTTTATCACACTCATCTGCTTTGAACTTACTTTGGTCGATGCTGATGAAGTATTTAAATTAAACACAAAAAAGTACGACTTAAGAGTACAATTCAAAACACTAACACATCTATATTTCAGTAGTCAACACCTGAATAAATGAAACATGTCTTTGTGATTGATTTGTAAAAAGATCTAGTTTTTAGTTTAAGCTACATAGCACGTAATCATGAAAAAAGGCCTAAACAGATTAAAAATATTAAACTGCTTTTATTGCCAAGAAACTTATGCTCAACTCGAGTTCCAAATATTTCAAAGATAGGGGGAAATATATTCTTACTTGGAACGAACCTTCCCCCCTTTTTTGTTTTTTGACATAGATATACTTTTAGTAATAATACTTTAGGGATTAACCTACTACTTGAGACTGACTTAGCGTGTAAAAATGGCATGGTTCTGATTGGTGAAGACGACGTCAAATGCAGTTTTCTGAACACGTTAAGTAACAATCCAAAAATATTGGAAATGTAGAGTAGGTGAAGCAGCGTTACAACCTATGACTACCAAGTCACACACGTAGTTATGGTGATTAGTTGGGAAATTATAAGTCAAAACACATTTTTACAAGTACAAACAATACTATATATGTTAAAATGTCATGGCAATTTATTCTTAAATGTTATGAGAGGAAACAAAAATATACAATATCTTACCATAACATGGATTGCATCCATCCATCGAACTTCATTGTTGGAATTTTTCCAATCTTCAACACCTTCTTTAAGTGTTTCATGGATAATTGCACGTGCCTAGTAAGGTATTGAGTAAAAATGCACAAAGCAAAAATGCAACATTAAAGAATAAATTTGAAATATTTTCTGTGTAATAACTATACCACACAATATTACGTGTTCAGTTGTATAAATTAATAGCATGACTATCTGTGTATATAATCTATTATTCTGTGATTTTCCTAACTACTCCTCCCTAGATTTCTCAGGGATTTTACTGTGTTGTGGAGTGCTGAAGCCAATCAGTAAAGCATGTTGCGAATCTTTTGATGTCATTAAAAATGTTAGTCGATGGACAGTTGAAATCTTGGAAGCAATTGGAGAGTTTTATTTTATCAGATACATAATCTGCACCCCATTTAGTTCATTCTCCTTGCAGATCTTCTAGAAAAATGAAACGCAGATGATATAATTACACAAAAAAACACATAAACTCTACAATACCCCATCTAGTACATATATTACACAACAAACAAGTTGTAAGGCTGACTTAACCAAAAATGCATACTCTTGAAACTGTTATTTACATTCTTACTGTTTTTGCAAAGATTTCATGCCACTTTATTTTATGTATTATTGTATATATATATATATAAGACAAGTTATAGGAACTTGTCGGAATATTGTACTAAATATATATTGAACAGACCCACTATTATTACCATTCGTATTATCATTAAATTACATAATAGGATATTTCAGTAAAATATGAACGTTATTTGAAGGACAAATAGAAGTTGTGAAACAGCGAAGTGTTATTCAACTCTCATTTAGCACCTATCAGTTAATGTAACAGAGCACAATCGAGGTGAGAGGAAGCCCTTTGTTATTTAATACACAAATCTCGGTACAACAAATAATGAATGATGTGAAAGCCATTGGGATAGGATTTGTAACAGAACAACACTGAATGCTCAAGTTATCAGACAACCACTTAACAGATGGTTGTAAAACGTTAAAGATCAGACGTAAAGTGTGCACCAACAAAGTTAATCTCAACAGTTTATAACTAAACTTTAGTGCAAAAGAGAAAATGCATCATTGCCCTAAAGCTCCAAATTCGGCTTAACAAGAGAAATAATTAATCCATTTTTATCACTAGGTATACCACCACTACAATGCTATGAACACGTTTGCGCAAGATGCTGAGTAAAATCAACAACACTGAAAGAGCACTGGAACTGAAATGTACATAATGAGGTTAAGATTACAACTTGATGAGTGAAAACCGAATAACTGAGCTATTGATGTTTAGAACTTTTTGTAAAGTATATAGAGTTAAATACAAATTTAAACTTACCTGTTCTCTATGAACAAACCCAGCTACGCCGATAGCAATTTCGATGGCAAAAATAACCAATAACAGAGCAAAATAAAAGCCCAACAAACATCGGCTATAGTGATATGAGCCACAACAACCTAATATTCCCAATACAAAGCTCAGAGCCCCAATAGCAGCCAGGACGATATAAGTGTAAGCCAATATATTGTGCTGATCAGTACCTCTAACCCCGAATGTTGAAAAGTAGAAGTACAAAGCAGCGGATAAAACAATCATCCCTATGATCTGGAAGCGGAATAAAAATTCAACACAAAAATACCAAAACGTTTGCTTACTATGCAGTTATATATATGAACTAATTTTACACAAAAGAATTATTCATGTTTAAGCTAAAGTATTCAACTATACTGTTTAACAAGCTCTGCAAGTTTGCTACTCTCCAGATTCTTATGCTCCTGAAAATCTGGGCAGACCCTATAATTCACTAAGTTATTTATCTACCGAGAGAAGTTGGAAAACAATTAGCTTGTGAAATACAGATTTTCGGAGCGTCACATAACGTTAGGGTAATTTACTATCAAGAATAAGCAAGCAAAACACGGGTCTTTTTCGTAGTTTATCCTTTCCAGCTTCTGATCAGAACAGGAAAACAAAATCACTAGATGTACACTTCATTACTTTTGAAAGCACAAATTTGCCAGCAGAAAAATCAACGTTGAGATCTGACCATTCATTTTAGGTGCAGTTGTATTTAGCTGTACTGTTATACAGTTCACCTTTACGGTATGAGTAGTTTTAGCTAGTATACTTGGATTTCTTTGGTTCATTACGTTAATAGTTACAGAATGCTTAACAGCGAACTGATTCTGATGTACTAACTTATCCCTTTAGTGGTGTATTGAAGCAGTTATAGACTAAATGAACTATTTGTAAGGGAATAATTCGAGTCTATCGCATCTAGAGAAATAAATTTTAATCAACTTGTAGCAGTTTAGTTTCTCTAAGGAATGGTTATTATTCTTAGGATGACGACCAAAATATTAGTGAGCGCAAATTTTAAGGACTTTTAATATACTAAAGTTTGGTTGGAAGTAGTGGCTTTTCGCCAAACGTTATCATGGCCCACTGTAATTGAGATGGACATTTCCCACTCCTTACCTAACAGTTTATAAGTTAGATTTAGTCTCAAAGACGGCAGTAACTTGAGCAAATATCCCTTAGCATTTGTGGAATATTTTACCATAAACTCTGAGATAACTAAGAAGGTCAGTTTGAAAGAATGCTAATTAACTGTTGTTAGATGATTGGGAACTTTCAGCGAACAAACCTTTCCAGTTCCGCTTAGAACTCTATTGTGATCTGAAACCCGAAGACTCGAACTCACTAGATGCTACTGAATTTTCTCAAGAGACAACATTGAGAAAGTTTCTAATTATCAACTAATCTTGATGTGAAGTGACTTAGACTCAAATCCAGATATATAGAACACCGTTTGCATGTACATTTGAGACTTAAATTATCTCGCATAAGGCTCTGTAATTGACTTCCAATGCAACCATGATTCATAAGGTATTTTTCCTTGGGAATCCTATAAAACACTATTAATGCACTCTTGTTAAAATAAGCAATATGATTCTGGTAGATGTTTTAATGTCGTCCACTTCCAGTAGTATCCCATTCAGGCAGATGGAACTGATCCACTTAACTATTGGTTGGGTAAAAACTAGTCTTAGGAATCCAAAGGATGAGACCATAACGTATGGACAAACCAATGTGATTAAGAATATCGTGCCTTGGATTTCGGTGCAAAATCCACTTATCCATATGGTTAATATCACTTGTGAATTATAGCTGACGTCAGTTCACGATGTAGTCCCTTATGTGAATCACAATTCCACAAACTAATTTGCGACCCTTTTCAAACCTAATCAACCATCGCTCAAATGCACCCTGGGTTACAATCTCACCCAAACATCCAGTTATATCAGTACATGTAGATGTAAAACTCCCGGTGTACCATGCATATGTACGAGTATGTATGCAGAGTCCCTATTGCGCAGCCGCAAGCAGTCTAAATAGGAATTCTTCAAAACCACTATATTTATCCAGATAAGATAATTAACACCAGTACCGAACCTTTTCATCCAATGTGATATCCCCGGTGCGTGAAAAAAGTTGACATTGAAATCAGAATAAACTATAAGAGCACAATTGTGCTCTTCCTAACTTAAGGTATGTTTACAAACTTAAACACCGTGGCCACAGAGGTCATTACTCGTTTCAAATGCCCAATCTCCCTATTTCGGGGTTTTTGAGTCATTTTCCCAAAATCTCCTATAGCGGTTTCCCAGAAATAGGGAGATTTCGTGGTTCTAAATAATATCAACAAACGTTCTATTGCTTGCTATAATACACTACAAAAGCACTTACTGTAAACAGGATGTTAAATACAATCATCAGCACGCGAACACATCCAGCACAAGACTTGCACATCCTGAGGAAAAAGACTACAACGGTCAATGATCTTTCAGAATTTAAACCAAGTACGGACCCCGGGTAAATATGTTAACGATCCCGGCTCAATGTCTTATTGACAAAGAGCTAATTCAATATACAATTTTAAAACGCTAAGTTACCCACGAAATTTTAGAACCGAGTGTAAATATGAATATACATTTGACTCTGGATGAAGGTATGAGTGTGTGTACATATATGCTTGGTTGATATATCTCACCAAGAAGTTACTTATGGAAATGACATTCATGTAGTTATTGGTTTTTCATATCTCTATAAATTTTGGATTGGCTTTTCCCATACATTTTTTAACGCTTTGAAAAAGCCGATTAATGACCCAATAAACATATTTGCAAGATAGTCTGTTTTAAGTTGCTGTGGAAAATAAATTCCTGGGACAAACAATTTGTAGCGATAAATAATTCCCCAAAATCAAATAGCTCTGTAAGTTTTCTACGTTGAATGCTGACAACAGTCTTAGTGGACTCATCTAACTGAAGGCGCTTGGCCAAGCATCCGCACCAGATCACGTGTGGGAACGCCGTGCTCAACATCTGCCACAATCGCTAGCCAGATTAGTGCAAACGATCCTCGATATATTGATAGCCTATCAAATATATCTTCGATCTCCTCATTTGTCTTTTGATTTTACTTGGTGGGTGCGCTTCGTATTAGAGGGTGTTACTGGTTAAAGCGTTGTCAAACTCCGAATACCTGTGGCATCTTCAAATTCTATAATTATTTAATATTCATGCTTACCGAATTAGTTTTACCAGGTGCACCCCTATCCGAAGGCCCTTAGTAAAGCATACGCACCGATTCATGCTTGAGTACACCTTACTGCGCATCTCTTACGACAACTAGTCAACTTAGATTACATGCACTTCGACAAATCAACCATAATCCAATTACTTAATCTCATCCTTTCTTTCTCGGCTTCTGGTTTAATTGAGGTTGAGATCGTTTTATGGGAAGCGGTATCAGGTTTCAGTGTTATTGAACACTGCTTACTAGTCACGCCTGTTTTGTTCACCATTAGTTTGTGAAAATTAGGTATGGAAAATGTGATGAATCTCCTTGTTATACAAATGGTTGAATTACAAGTACAGTCTGATTATCCTGGGAGGGAAAAGCTATCCAATGCGAAATCAATAGACCTTATCAACAGGAGTCGTAACTTCAAATTTTGATCAAGATTACTATTTCTATGACCTGACACATTGACAACTGACTTATCGGACTTAGGTGTTTCTAGTATTTCGTGGTTACTTCAGATCAGTTGAATATTGTCATACGTCTTGCAGTCCCCTAATGATCGCCAACTAATAATGTACCGTTTATTTTTTCAGTGGACTCAGAAGTGCGATGGAAGAAAGACATCTGATGAACCGATAGAAATCGAGATCATTTTGGTTTCTGCGCGAAATTAGTAGCTGACAGCCAAAAGAATAATCAGTCAAAACGTAAGATGGGAATCTCACGGATCCAGAAGCATAAAAGCATCATTCAATACAAAGAAGGAGGGGATCACAATGAATATTATCCAATGTTATGCACCCAACAACAATAGCAATAACGACATTAAAGATCAGTTCTGTAGGAGGCTGCAGTCAATCAAAGCGAAGTGCTCAAGAAAAGATCTCACAACATCGGATATGATGTTGAAGATGCCATAGCTATTGGGAGTTTGACAACACTTTAACCAGTAACACCTTCTAATGTGAAGCGTACCCACCAAGTGAAATCAAAAGACAGAAGCGAGGAGGTTCGAAGATAAATTTGATAGGCTATCAATATATCGAGGGTCGTCTGATCTAACCTGGCTAGCGATTGCAGTAGATGTTGAGCACGGCGTTCCCACACGTGATCTGGTGCGGATGCATGACCGAGCGCCTTCAGCTAGATGAGTCAATTAAAACTAATGTGGTCAGCATCCAATGTCGAAAACTTACAGAGCTATTTATTTTGGGGATTTATTTACCGCTACAGATCACTTTCCCCCTAGTGGGGTTGTGATGACCCTAAGACGTGGCCAGCCAGAAGTTCAAACCCGACGAGTATGTCATTGGTAAACACTCTTCTGATAGCTTGCTAGATTTAGCAGCGTCTAATCGTCTTTCCTTACAATAAGGGACCAAGAAGTACAATATAGTAAAAAACGGGAAAGTACAATGAAAATTTCGGTTTCTCGTAAACTTCATCGTTCTTTTCCAGCCATCGCGGAAAAGAAAAATAGTATGTAAATGGATGTCGAAATACACTCGTACGCGCGTAAAAACACAAAGCGGGCTAAAAAATGGAAAATAAACTCATGCTCATGTAATAGCGTAAAAAAGGATTTTTATGATATGGTCTGTTTTATTTTTTTGCAATAAAAAATAAAAATATATAAGCATATCAAATTTGGCTTTTTTTAAATTAATACAGTATAAGGGAAAATCAAGATGACATAAAATGCATCTTACGTGCAGTGATCGTTCAGATGCTCTGGAAATCTTACTCTTCTTCCAGAACGCGTTGTCTTAAGTCTATTTTCTGATAGCGCCGAAGTGTCATCGCGTGTGTTGACTGTCGATTGAGGTATTATAAGTGCAGGATTTGTGTCGTGCGATTGTACTGAAGAAAAATCGACGTGAACGGGATTTCCTTCTAAATACGCTGCTTTGAGGCGATTGATGCTGATGCTATCGTTGATTCTGTCTTTATCGATTATATAGTACTTAGATTCGCGTTAAAGAACTTTGAAAAGTCCTTTGTACGCTGGCTCGAGAGGTCGTCGATGCGAGTCTCGACGTACGAAGACGTGTGTACTATGTCGTGAGTCAGGTTGAACGAAAATATCAGTTGATTGCGGTCAAGTGGGAACAGGTTTAACTAAACGCATTGCATTTGTAAGCCTGTTCATGTAGGTGATTAGATCCCTGTTCATCGAAGAGGATGAAAGATCGACGAATTCTCTTGGAAGTCGAAGGGTCGTACAGTAAACGAGTTGAGACACAGTTTATCCAATGTCAGCTTTCATTGCATTGCGAATACCTGTTAAGACGAGTGGAAGAGCGTAAGTCCACTGAGAAATGTTTGAGGCTGATAGTGACGCTTTTATTTGTCGATGAAAACGTTCTACTAACCCGTTTGCTTGTGAGTGGTAGGCCGTCGTTCAGAAGCGAGTGATTACTAATTTTGAGGTCAGACAACAGAAAAGTTCAGATTCGAACTGGCGTCTACTATCTGGCGCGGGCCACTGTTTCAGCAGTAATGTTCTTGATGGGTACTGCTTCTGGTCATCGTGTAAAACGGTCTACGCAGGTTAAACGATGAGAATATCCATTTGAATGTGGAGAAGAACTCACCAAGTCCAAATGAACGTAGTCGAAGCGAGCATCCGGAGTTTAAAACGAGCCTAAGGGATATTTGTTATGTCTAATAACCTTAGATTTCTGACAGCTTACACAGGAGCGTGCCTACTCCCTCACGTTTTTATTCATACCGGGCCAGCAAAACTGTTCAGCTATAAGCTTGATGGTTGCACGGACACCTGGATGAGAAAGTCTGTGCAACGTAATGAGGACGTTGAGTCGATAACGTTTCGGCACGATTGGACGATCCCTGCCTGTAGATGTGTCACAGTAAGATTTCCTTATCTGTTCTCATCTGTTTAATGCGCATTTTAAGGGTTGTTAACAATCAGTGTCTTCTTTTTGAAGTTGGGCGAGTTTTTAAAGGTCGATTCCTTGGAAACTGTCCAAGGAAGTTAGTAGAGATAAGGCGTCTGCAACTACATTGTTTGCTCCAGAAATGTATTGAATGTCTGAAGTAAACTGCGAAATGTAGTCCAGATGTCAAGACTCACAAGGTGAGTACTTGTCTGAAGATGAGCTTAAAGAGAAAGTAAGAGGTTTATGGTCAGTGAAAAGGGTGAATTCTCTACCTTCGATAGAGTGTTGAAAATGCCGTACAGCACAATACATAGCTAGGAGTTTCCTAGCGAATGTGCTGTACCTTGATTCAGTGTCTAGCAACCGTCTAGACAAAAAATGCCAAAGGTTGCCAGGAGTGGTTAACCCATCGTTATAAGACTCATCCGATTGCTGAGTTGGATGTGTCTACTGCGATACTAATGGGTGCTTCAGTGTCCTGATGAGCAAGCATGGTTGCTTGAGCGATCAGTTCCTTAATCGTGAAGAATGCTTTTCGCGCGGTGTCATCCAGATTGATGGATTTCGCATGTCTACGAAGTTGGTCGGTAAGGGGTTTCATGAGGGACGCGCATTTCGGTATGAACGGTCTACAAAAACTCACCAGGCTGTTAAACGTGCTCAATTGCTTGATGGCGGTCGGTTCTGGGTAATCCAGAATGGCCGCCACTTTTGTTCTAAGGGGTCGGATACCTTGCGCATCGATAGTGTGTCCTAGGAAATCTAAGGAGTCGGTTCCGATTTGGCATTTCTGAATGTTTACAGTAATGCCATGTTTTTTTAGTCAGTCGAAAACAAGGTCCAGATGCTGGAGATGCGATTCTCTGTCGGGACTTTTTATTAGGTAGTCATCAACATATACATGTACGAAGTTGAGGCCTCGAGAAACGTCGTCTATGAAGCTTTGGAAGATTTGTGCCGCGTTTCTTAGACCGAAAGGCATTCGCGAAAATTCATAGAGTCCAAAGGGGGTTATAATAGCGGTTTTTGGAATATCGTCAGCGGCCATAGGAACTTGGTTATACGCTTTAACCAAGTCGATTTTGGAAAAGACAGTTGTACCTTTCAATATAGCTGTCAAATCGTGAATGTGAGACAACGGGTAACGATAGGGAATGGTTTTTGGATTCAATCGCCGATAGTCATTAGTTGGACGCCAATCGTTGCTGCCCTTTTTAAGGACCATGTGCAACGGAGATGCCCATGGGCTATTTGACGGTCGTATGATTCCTAAGTTTATCATATGGTCGAATTCGTTTTTCGCCAACCTTAACTTTTCGGGGG